TGGAAGCCAGTGGTGGCAGTTGGGCTCTGAGGGTTTTTTCCCTGAGGAGCTGTTTTGTTTGGCGTTTGTAGTTCTAAAAATAAAGTTAGTTTCTTTTGACAAGTGGCTCCTGAATTGTGCCAAGCCAGACTTCGGCAGGACACATGGACAGTATGGTATTCTTCCAATCTGTCTTTCCTCCTCTACTCACCCACCAACTCCCTCACACTCTGTTAGTCATCCAGCTCTAGCTCAAGCCACAGCAGCTGTATTGCTGTCTCCCAGGACAGCTGATTACCTTGAATTGGAAATATAGCCAACATGTCATGTGGCCTGTAGTTACAATTCAGCAATATCTGTAGAAGTTCTGCTCCCAAACTCATCTCTGTTAGGTAGGAAAAACTAACATTCATTTTTCTTAGTTGTAGTGTTAAGCCAGATTTACTACTGAATTCATTTAAAATAAAAATGTGTTAGGTATTTTATAATTTTTCCATCTATACCAGAGAAGCAATTGAAGGTCAGATGGGTTAGGTGAATGGCCTGAGGCCACACAGCCCCGACTCTGGTACATAAGGCTTTCGATTGAGATCTATTTTTCCTTGCTTGCAGCTACATGGTGCTGAGTCTCAGAAGCACTGGTAATTCTGTTTATCCTCAATTATAGGCCCCAAGATAGAGCCCTATGGGGCCCTTCACTGGATGTTGAAGAAGACACGATATAGAAGACAAAGATATGTGATTACTAAGTTGTACAGTACAAACCTAGAGTCACTAAATTGAGCATAAATGACTTTCAGGGAGATAGATAATGAAGAGAATGAATGAGAAAGGGACCAAGTTCAGAGAAGGCTCCTGACTATGGATGCTCTGTCTTTCTCATCACCTACCTGGATTGAGCCAATTCTTCATTAAAATTCCCACAGGTAGTCAGGAAGATTCAGACAGCTGCTTTGAAAGAAGATTGTTGAATGAAAGTTACTATAGTCTAAAAGGGTGGTCAGTGTTCAAGGACTTGTGTCCCTGAATGTAGCAGCTGATCTATAGGTACAGGGTTTCTTGGTACCATAAAGGGTACTATATAGTCTCTTCTCCTGATCCACAACAATCATTACCACCACCACCAAAAAATTTAAGAACACTGAAAGGAAGATGGAGGAAGGAAAAGACATAATTTAGAAATTCTATGCCAAGGGATCTCTTTATTCAACATCACCCAACCATTCATAAGAATATACCCAGGATATAAGAGAAGAAATTTAAGTACCACTAAATAATTTCTAGTGGGCAAGAGAAATCACCAATAATATTAACTCAGAAATCACAGTAGATACTAAATGGTTGCAAGGAAAAGAGAGAATAAGGATAACAGAATACAATTCAAGTAACTAAATATTTATTGAGCACTTATTTTATGCTGATCCCAAGATTAGGAATTTAGCATTTAGAAATACATGAATATATAAGCAATGTCACTGAGACAAGACTGTTGCCTTATTTAAGAGTTTCTCCACAGCCCTCTTCATGTCTCTGTTCCTAAGGCTATAAATGAAGGGGTTCAACAGTGGGGTGACCACTGTGTACATAACAGAAGCAATTATGTCCTTGTAACTGTAGGTGCCAGATGAGGGGAAGAAATAAACTCCAATAATTGTGCCATAATATAGAGACACCACAGAGAGATGGGAGCCACAGGTGGACAAGGCTTTGCAGATCCCTTTGCTAGATGGAACTTTGAGAATGGTGGCCCCAATGCGGCCATAAGAGATCAGGATGCACATCAGAGGTAGAGTGATGACTGCCACTCCTAGGGTGAAAATGACCAGTTCATTGAGGGAGGTGTCTGAGCATGAGAGTTTGAGTAAGGCAGCAAGGTCACAGAAGAAATGGGGGATGGTGTCACCATCACAAAAGGACAGCCTGGCCAGGAGGAGGGTGTGAAACAGGGCGCTGGCACAGGACAGGATCCAAGACACCGCTACTAGCAAGGTACATAGCTCCTTTCTCATGATGATAGCATAGTGGAGGGGGTGACAGATGGCCACGTACCTATCATATGCCATTGAAGTGAGAAGGAAATTGTCCAGATCAGTGAAAAATATGAAAAAATACATCTGTACTATACATCCTGCATAAGGGATGGACTGATCCCTAGTTTGCATGCTTATTAGCATCTTTGGGACAGTGACAGATGAGAAAGAGATGTCGGTGAGGGCCAAGTGGCTGAGGAAGAAGTACATGGGGGTGTGCAGGCGAGAGTCCAGCCTGATGAGCAGGATGATGAGCAGGTTCCCCAGCACCGTGGTCAGGTACATGCCCAGGAACAGGGCGTAGTACATGCCTTGCTGCTCTGGCTGGATGGGGAGCCCCAGGAGGACGAACTCGGACACACTGCTTTGGTTCTCCGTCCTCATTCTGCTCTTCCCTCTACTGGGATGGGAGGGCCATTGAAGAAAGTAAAAACAAAGTGTGACTTAAAACAGGCAGATAAAACGAGAGCCGTTCAAATGATGAATACAGTATACCAGTATCCATCTGCATTGCCATGAGCCTATTAAAAAATCTTCTAAAATAGAATTTGTCAACAGAGAAGAGAGTTTGATATGGCATTAGTCACCATCCAGGCAAGAGGCAACTTTGACCAAAGTGAAATTTCCAGCCGTGTCTAAGTCAGTGAAGAGAAACCTCCATGGTCTTAGGAGAGGAATATTAGGTTAAAATGGTCCCAATATCTATTCTGTTTCTATACTTTAACAAATAATCATTAGCCTTTCTCGTGCCTTCAAGTTACGATGTATCAAACTTTTGAAATATGACTTCAAAATCCATCAATAATCAAAGTCTGGGGCAGAAGTTTCAATAGCATATGCCTAAAGAAAACTGGACCAAAAATTAAGCACCAAAGTTCCCAGTATATATAAAATTGATAAGAAAAAATTATCCATTGGTTAAAAGGTCACTGCTATAAAAAGAGAAAACATTATTGGCTGTTCCATAATTATTATAAGTAATAAATTTGTCAGGATATTTTAGATAATTTTATAATAACCTTCTGAGTCAATGAGTTCTTGTGGCACCATGAAAACACAATCCATAATAGAGTTTTCATCAACCAAGGATAAAGAAGAGGGCCACTCATATATCCTTTCCTCTTTTTTTAGCTTCCTGATTGGGCTCCCAGAATCTTGATCTTTAGAACTTGCTAATAGGCCCTGTTCAAGATCCAGTTATATCCAGGTCCCCCAACTCATCAGTGTCAAGTGTCTTAAAAATGTATTTGCAATTTTCCCCTTCAACTACTATCTACCCATTAAAATACTCTAAAAGCTAAATTATTAAATCCTGTAATACAAGTGGGGAAAAGATCTAATTATGTCTTAATAAAAAGTTACCTTTAAGCCCCAGATTAGTTAAATGCCTACTAGAGATGCCTATAGACAGAAAGTCAATACAAGATATTACAGCTATATTATACTAGTTCTTAACTAAAGGAAAATTTAGAAGTTTTATATAGGTTAATGGTAGGCAAAAAATTCTTTGCTTTTTCTAAGTTGGTGATTTGAACATGTTCCTATCCCATATGGATGTACCATCTCCTTTTTAAACTTACTGAAAACAACTGACATATCAGATGTGACAGTTCTGAAAATAATAACACCTGGCCCAGTTCTCAGTCTGTCCCTGATCGCTTAAATATTCTGGCTCTCCTTGGAACTGTGACTTTAAGCTAAGAGCTTTCTGCCTGAGAGTTGCATGGTGTGTTGAGAAACGCATTACAATTAGGAATAGCTCCAAATTCGGGCAGCATCACTTCATATTTGTGAATTCTGGGCAAGCAGAAAAAAACCCATTTTTCTCATCTTTAAGTTAGAAGTAAGACACTGAGCTTAGGTCCTGAGAATATTAACAGAACGATAACTGAGATGTCCTAGTATTCTAGACTTCCCCCTCTTTCTCCATTCTCTTCTGGTTTCCCTCATGCTATAAAATGATGAAATGATGACTCCTTCCCAAAGCTGTAATTCTATCTAGTTTATGAGATTTAGGATTTTAATAAAAGCTCCTGGATCTAATTAAGCCACGCCTTTGTGTTGTCGTAGTTCTGTATTAGCTCTAAGTAGAGACCACGTAGAGATTCTCACTGCACCACACCCAACCTTCTCAATACCTTAACAGCTGCTTGCTAGTAATGGATATTTTCTTGATAGTGAGGGTGTGTGCTGTAGAAGGCAAAGCCCAAGTTTTTAAGCCAGACAGAAGGGATTCGAATGTTGCATCTCTTGGAATTTCAGCTTTTCCTCTGTAAAACTGGAATAATAATCCCTGCATTTTACTGTAAGAATTAAGTAAAATGGTGTCTGTAAAACAACTCTCTCATAGGAGCTGTTCTAGATGAGGTGACATAGATTCTATTAAATAAAGAGTATAAAGATCTCTAGGGAAGATACTCAGTGTCTTTAATGAAAACCAGGAGAAAAAAGTAACTATGTGGAAATATTCAAAGTCCTCTATTTTAGCTATTTTGAAATACACATTACATTGTAGTAGATCTTTCCAAGGATCAGGGTTTGATGTCTTTAATGAAGGTCTGAGACTACACTAAGGGTCATAGGTAAGAAATCATCAGGGTGATTCTAACAGGGAGTTGCATTACGAGAGCTTTGCTAAAAAAGAAATCAAAGCTCCATAGCCAGAAATAACTTCAAACATACATACAATAAAAGTAGGACTGATACACAAATGATCAGGAACTTTGGAGAGAAACACTAAAGAGAACTGGTTTACACTACACACATTAAGAAGCACACATCCTGATACCTAAAACATGAATGATGACACAATACCTCCAGCCTGGTTTGGGGGTGTGCTTGCTAATTTATATAGTCATCTGGCTCTATTCCTCCTCTCCCTAAGACTTGGAGATAGAGGCATGAGCATTATTGACTAGTGATGGTTGCTATATCCTTGTCTTTAGAAACTAGGAATAAAAAAATCATTTCAGCACAGAGAGCATAGGGGGTCTCTTGGCACCTGTGCATGCAAACACACCTGCTACTGATGAATACCCAGTCCTGCTCTGAACTTTATGCTCAGGTTATCCTACTCCCAAAGATTTGTATTGCCTTCTCAGCTGCTCTCCAGTAGACTCGATTTTGCATATAACTTCCGTGGCATGGACATCAAAGAGAAAAGTCATGAGCCTGGAGCTTGCTTCTTTCATTTCACCAGCTTCAGAAATGGTGATGTGAAGACTTCACTCTATCCGCTAGGGCTAGGACCCAATGGGACAGGACACCAAGTTGTGATTAGAGACTTGAATTAAACATGTATTCATTTCTCAGTTTTCCTCTTACTCCCTCTAGGACAGATGCCCCAGGGCAGTGGTCTCTAAACTTTAATATTCAGCAGAATCAACTGGGGACCTTGTTAAAGATGCAGATCTCAGATCCACCTCCAGAGATGCTTATTTATGAGATTTGGGGCCAGATATTTTTCAGGCAGGTGTTTCCAACAGACTTTGAAGAAACATTGTCCTTATGAAGAGCATCAGGATGCAGGCCCTAAGCTCAAGAGATGGGGAAATTCCTTCCCTGCCAGATTTGGATTGCCCCTGTTAGGTCATAGTTTGGGATGTGCAGAGGAATTTCCTTCTCAAATGCAAAGTACCTTTTGCTTGTCTGTTTGTAAAAGTAATGCATCTTCATCCAAATACTCTGGACATGAAAATGATGGCAAAAGTTAAGATACCTTGCCTATCCATTATTCATTTCTAAACCTTCTAAAATGATTTTTATTAGTAAACATTTATATTTATGCAAGTGGGATTCATTTTATAGTATTTCTATAATTATTTTACTCACATTTATATTTCCACTTCTAGGTGCATCATTATTTTTAAAATATACTTAAAGTAAAGAAGGTTTAATCAGTCTCTTCTGGAATTAGCACAAAGATTCCCTATGCAATGTTATTAAAGATTATATAAGGTCTTTAAATCATCTGTTGTGTCAGTTGCCCAATTGAGGCTACTTTAATATTTCTAAAAGCATCAACTGTAATGGGCTTCTCTGTTTGGGCTCCTCAGTATCCGTGGCTTGATTGTTTGAAAAGGCCACAAACAATCCAACTGTGAAAATGCCTGAACAATAGAAGTTCCAGTTGAACTCTGGAAAAGGAGATGACCATGTCAAATTGTTTTCACTCCCCTGTAGTATAAACCAAAGATTATGGAATAAAGTTTTATGAGCAAGAGCAGAAAGGGCTATTGCAATTTTTTCACATTCTATATTGAATATCAAACATCCAACTCCTTCAAAATGTTTTGATTTGCATCCTCACATCCCAAGCCGACTCTGTAGGTATCACTACAGCCTTCAATGTCATTCCGACTGCTGGTTACATACTATCTAATCTTATATTTATATGTTAAATTGGGAAAACATCTTATTTTGCATAGGCAGGTGCCAAAACAAACAAAACCAAAATCACCCCCCAAGAAAAACAACCCACAGAAGTGATGTAAAGACCAAAATAAAAATGTGATGTATCTAATGATAATAATGTGGATTGGATTTTATACAAGTGCTATTTATGTCCTGTGTCCAGAAACATGTCAAGTTCTATGACACCTTTTAGAAATGAATGACATCATGAAGCACAAAATTACTCAATGTTCTGCCAAGAACTCAAGAGTACCTGTGTTTGTGTGTGTGTGTGTGTGGGGGGTGAGGGTATAGCTTTTTCAATATCATCTAAAGTTTTATAACTAATGAATATTTTATTATATCATGTATCATGTGTGAAATAATTATTAGTGCAAAATAAGAAAATATGTTTTTTTTTAGAGTTTTTCTAGAACATGTGAACATGTTCTAATGAGAGGGGGAAAATCAGAGTATTGAGTGACATTAATAAAGTCACAAGTCACATCAAAATTACTCAAAATTTAATGAAAAAAAACATGTTGAATATATGATGTATGTTTTCAAAACTTTGGATTTATTTTCACTTAATTGTAGTTTGATGTGATAATACAAGATATGATATATGGTATCTGGTATGTCTATCTTCTGTATGAAAGAGAAAAGGAATTCTCATGTCTCAGGAAAGAATATTAGATTTTTTAAATTTCTTATTAGAGTATTATCTATTATATTAGAGCTTAAAAGTTTTACTGCCTACAGAATTAAATAGAAAAATATCAACACGAACCACTATTGTTTCCTCTATAACTAAAATAATTGAAGCTATCTCTTGCTTCACTCTACCTGGAACAGAATTCATGAAATGTGCATCCAACAACTTCCAAGATTGAGTTCTTAGACCAGTTCTTTTCAAATTCTAGTTCACAATTCTGCAGCATCAGGGCAGCCTGGGAGCTTGTTAGAAATGCAAATTCTTGGGCTCTACTACC